CCCCCCAGCGGGGGGGGGGGAGGGGCTCCGGCGCCCCCCCCCCCCGCCCCCCCCCCCCGCGGCGCTCGCCCCCCACTGCCCACCACCCCCCGGCCCCCCCCCCCGCCAGCGACTCTGCAGCGGGACCCCCGCGGGGGGCCGTGCCCCCCCACTCTGCCGGGGGAGGGGGTAGCGTGGGGGGCCCCCATGGGAGACCGTGCCCCCCCGTGACGCAAGCGAACCTCAACGTCGTCTCGGTCGCTGTGGGGGCACTCACAGACACCTCTCACGGTGAGAGCAGAAACACTCAGACACACAGTCACACACAGAGACACACACACATACACACTGTCACACACACACATACACACTGTCACACACACACATACACACAGTCACACACATACACACAGACACACACACACACAGACACACACAGACACACACAGACACACACACACACACACACAGACACACACACACACACAGACACACACACACACACACACAGACACACACACACACACAGACACACACACACACAGACACACACACACACACACACAGACACACACAGACACACACACAGATACACACACACACACAGACACACACACACACACACGACACACACACACACACAGACACACACACACACACACAGACACACACACACACACACACAGACACACACAGACACACACACACACACACAGACACACACACAACACAGACACACACACACACACAGACACACACACACACACACACAGACACACACACACACACAGACACACACACACCACACACAGACACACACACACACACAGACACACACACACACACAGACACAACACACACAACAGCACACACAGACACACACAGACACACACACACACAGACACACACACACACAGACACAGACACACACACACACACACAGACACACACACAGACACACACACAGACACACACACACACACACACAGACAGACACACACACACACAGACACACACACACACAGACACAGACACACACACACACACACAGACACACACACACAGACACACACACACACACAGACACACACAGTGTACACACACACAGACAGACACACACAGACACACACACACAGTGTACACACACAGTGTACACACACACACACACACAGACACACACACACACAGTGTACACACAGACACACACACAGTGTACACACAGACACACACAGACACACACACACACACACACAGACACACACACACACAGACACACACACACACAGACACACACAGACAGACACACACACACACACAGACACACACAGACACACACACACACACACACAGACACACACACACACACACAGACACACACACACACACAGACACACACAGACACACACCACACACAGACACACACAGACACACACACACAGTGTACACACACAGTGTACACACAAACACAGACACACACAGACACACACACACACAGACACACACACACACAGACACACACAGACAGACACACACACACACAGACACACACAGACACACACACACACACACAGACACACACACACACACAGACACACACACACACACAGACACACACACACAGACACACACACACACAGACACACACAGTGTACACACACACAGACAGACACACACAGACACACACACACAGTGTACACACACAGTGTACACACACACACACACAGACACACACAGTGTACACACACACAGACACACACACACAGACACACACACACACACAGACACACACAGTGTACACACACACACACACACAGACACACACACACACAGTGTACACACAGACACACACACAGACACACACACACACAGTGTACACACACAGTGTACACACAGACACACACACAGACACACACACCACACAGTGTACACACACAGTGTACACACACACACAGACACACACACACAGACACACACACACAGACACACACACACAGACACACACAGACACACACACACACACAGACACACACACACACAGACAGACACACACACACACAGTGTACACACACAGTGTACACACAGACACACACACAGACACACACACACACACACAGACAGACACACACACACACACAGTGTACACACACAGTGTACACAGACACACACACACAGACAGACACACACACAGTGTACACACACACACATACACACACACACAGACACACACACACACAGACACACACACACAGACACACACACACACACAGACACACACACACACACATCCATCCCCCCACCCAGCAGAGCCGGGCTCTGCTTGAACCAATGGTTCAGTAAGCGGCAAAACAATGTAAGCGGATTGTCTGCGTGACCTCGTGTCAACGTGACCCCGTGTCACCATGACCCCCGTGACCCCGTGATCTCGTGTCTCTGTGACCCCGTGTCACCATGACCCCGTGTCACCATGACCCCGTGTCACCATGACCCCCATGACCCCGTGTCACCGTGACCCCATGTCCCCGTGTCACCGTGACCCCATGTCACCATGACCCCCATGACCCCGTGTCACCGTGACCCCATGTCACCATGACCCCCGTGACCCCGTGTCTCTGTGACCCCGTGCCTCTGTGACCCCGTGACCCCGTATCCCCCGTGACCTCCAGACTGTGTGGATGTGGGGGGACCGCCAATCTCCTGTGTTCGTTGTTCCGCCTTCCTGTCCTCAATCAGCCGCATAGCGGACAACCCCAACGGTGACACGGTGAGACACCCACAATGCACCGCGGCGACACGGTGAGACACCCACAATGCACCGGGGCGACACGGTGATACACCCACAATGCACCGGGGCGACGCGGTGAGACACCCACAATGCACCACGGCGACACGGTGAGACACCCACAATGCACCACGGCGACACGGTGAGACACCCACAATGCGCCGCGGCGACACGGTGAAACACCCACAATGCACCGGGATGACACGGTGATACACCCACAATGCACCATGGCGACACGGTGATACACCCACAATGCACCGGGGTGACACGGTGATACACCCACAATGCACCGGGGCGACACGGTGATACACCCACAATGCACCGGGGCGACACGGTGATACACCCACAATGCACCGGGGCGACACGGTGATACACCCACAATGCACCGGGGCGACACGGTGATACACCCACAATACATCGGGGCGACACGGTGAGACACCCACAATGCACCGGGGCGACACGGTGAGACACCCACAATGCACCGGGGCGACGCAGTGAGACACCCACAATGCACCGCGGCGACACGGTGAGACACCCACAATGCACCGGGGTGACACGGTGATACACCCACAATACACTGGGGCGACACGGTGAGACACCCACAATGCACCGGGGTGACACGGTGATACACCCACAATGCACTGGGGCGACGCGGTGAGACACCCACAATGCACCGGTGCGACGTGGTGAGACACCCACAATGCACCGGGGCGACACGGTGATTCACCCACAATGCACCGGGGCGACACGGTGATAAACCCACAATGCACCGCGGCGACACGGTGAGACACCCACAATGCACCACGGCGACACGGTGATACACCCACAATGCACCGCGACGACACGGTGATACACCCACAATGCACCACGGCGACACGGTGATACACCCACAGCAGCCCCCCCTTTCCCATGTTCTAACACTCCCCCCACCCCCCCCACCCCCCCTAACCCCCCCACCCCCCCCACCCCCCCACCCCCACCCCTCTACCCCCCACCCCCCCCCCCCCCCCACTCACCCCTCCCCCCCAGGTGTGGAGCTGCGAGTTCTGTGCGTGCCCCAACCTGCTGGACCTGCGCTACAACCCGGTGCCCCCCAAGGTGACGTCACCTTCAGGGGGGGGGCCCCCGGGGGGGGGCGCACCGGGGGGCCTCCCCCCCAACCTCCCCACCCCCCCCACCCCCCCCCCACCCCCCCCACCCCCTCATCCCGCTGATGGCCACCAGCTCCTCGTCTTCTGCGTCGACGTGTCGGGGAGCATGGGGGTGACGACGGAGGTGACGAGTCATCGTCATCATCGCCATCAACACCATCATCATCATCATCATCAACATCATCGTCATCATCATCAACACCATCGTCATCATCAACATCATCATCAACACCATCATCATCATCATCGTCATCATCAACATCATCAACACCATCATCAACACCATCATCATCGTCATCATCATCAACACCATCACCATCATCAACATCATCAACACCATCATCATCAACACCATCACCATCATCAACATCATCAACACCATCATCAACACCACCACCACCATCATCATCATCATCACCACCATCATCAACACCACCACCACCATCATCAACACCACCAGCATCAACAACACCACCAGCATCAACACCACCACCATCATCAACACCACCATCATCAACACCACCACCACCATCAACACCACCATCAACACCACCACCATCATCAACAACACCATCATCAACACCACCATCATCAACACCACCACCATCATCATCAACACCACCACCGTCATCAACACCACCACCAACACCACCATCATCATCAACACCACCATCATCAACACCACCATCATCATCAAAATAATCACCATCATCAACACCACCATCATCATCAACACCTCCATCATCAACACCATCAACACCACCATCACCTTCATCATCACCTTCATTCCTCCTTCTCAGCACCACCACCATCATCACCACCACCACCATCCAGAGACTCACCACCACCACCACCACCTTCATCAACACCATCACTGCGACTATGGAGCTGGCCACGAGCGATGATGGTGCTTTGTCTGTGAATGACTCAGGTGGAAGGAACTGGGGATGGGTCTGGTGGCCCACAGCAAGCGGTACACGTGTCCAGACTGCAGGTGAGTGAGTGAGTGAATGAGCAGGGGAGTGAATGACTAAGTAGGTGGGTGAGTGAATGAGTGGTTGAGTGGGTAAATTAATTAGTGGGTGGGTGAATGAGTGGCTGAGTGGGTAAGTGAGTGGGTAAATGAATTAGTGGGTGGGTGAATGAGTGGGTGAATGAGTGGGTGGGTGACTGAGTGGGTGAATGAGTGGGTGGGTAAATTAATTAGTGGGTGGGTGAATGAGTGGGTGGGTGAATGAGTGGGTGGGTGAATGAGTGGATGAGTGAATGAGTGGGTGGGTGAATGAGTGGGTGAGTGGGTGGGTGAATGAGTGGGTGAGTGAATGAGTGGGTGGGTGAATGAGTGGATGAGTGGGTGAGTGAATGAGTGGGTGGGTGAATGAGTGGGTGACTGGGTGACTGAGTGGGTGACTGAGTGACTGAGTGGGTGACTGAGTGGGTGACTGAGTGACTGAGTGGGTGACTGAGTGAGTGACTGAGTGAGTGACTGACTGAGTGGGTGACTATGTGAGTGTCTCCCCCCAGTGGGTGCAGGAGGCGCTGGTGGCTACGCTGGAGCGGTGAGTGACTGAGTGACTGAGTGACTGAGTGAGTGAGTGACTGAGTGACTGAGTGAGTGACTGAGTGACTGAGTGACTGAGTGGGTGACTTAGTGGGTGACCGAGTGGGTGAGTGACTGAGTGGGTGACTGAGTGACTGAGTGGGTGACTGGGTGACTGAGTGACTGAGTGGGTGAGTGACTGTGTGAGTGACTGATTGAGTGGGTGACTAAGTGAGTGTCTCCCCCCAGTGGGTGCAGGAGGCGCTGGTGGTTACGCTGGAGCGGTGAGTGGGTGACTGAGTGACTGAGTGACTGAGTGGGTGACTGAGTGGGTGACTGAGTGGGTGACTGAGTGGGTGACTGAGTGGGTGACTGTCTCTCCCCCCAGTGGGTGCAGGAGGCGCTGGTGGCTACGCTGGAGCGGTGAGTGGGTGAGTGAGTGGGTGAGTGACTGGGTGGGTGACTGAGTGACTGAGTGACTGGGTGACTGAGTGACTGATTGAGTGACTAAGTGAGTGTCTCCCCCCAGTGGGTGCAGGAGGCGCTGGTGGCCACGTTGGAGCGGCTGTGCGAGCGCTCCCCAGAGACTCGCGTCGCCCTCATCACCTTCAACCACGAGGTGGGGGGGGGGGCACGGGGGGTACGGGGGGTACGGGGGCCTGGCACAAGCTCCGTGGTGACGTCACCTAAACCGAGTGGTGACGTCACCGCCACCTAGTGGTGACGTCACCGCCAGTTAGTGGTGACGTCACCGCCAGTTAGTGGTGACGCCACCTAGTGGTGACGTCCCCGCCACCTAGTGGTGACCGTTGTGACGGTGTTGCACTTGCCCCTCCGCCCTGCGTCTATCCTACCTGGGTCCCCTCTCCCTGTGCCCAGGTGGTGGTGACGTCACCGCCACCTAGTGGTGACGTCACCGCCACCGAGTGGTGACGTCACCCTGGGTCTCCCCCTGCCCAGGTGGTGGTGACGTCACCGCCACCTAGTGGTGACGTCACCCTGGGTCTCCCCCTGGTCAGGTGGTGGTGACGTCACCGCCACCTAGTGGTGACGTCACCCTGGGTCTCCCCCTGGTCAGGTGGTGGTGACGTCACCGCTACCGAGTGGTGACGTCACCCTGGGTCTCCCCCTGCCCAGGTGGTGGTGACGTCACCGCCACCTAGTGGTGACGTCACCGCGGGTCTCCCCCTGCCCAGGTGGTGGTGACGTCACCGCCACCTAGTGGTGACGTCACCCTGGGTCTCCCCCTGCCCAGGTGGTGGTGATGTCACCGCCACCTAGTGGTGACGTCACCCTGGGTCTCCCCCTGGTCAGGTGGTGGTGACGTCACCGCCACCTAGTGGTGACGTCACCCTGGGTCTCCCCCTGGTCAGGTGGTGGTGACGTCACCGCCACCTAGTGGTGACGTCACCGCGGGTCTCCCCCTGCCCAGGTGGTGGTGACGTCACCGCCACCTAGTGGTGACGTCACCCTGGGTCTCCCCCTGCCCAGGTGGTGGTGACGTCACCGCCACCTAGTGGTGACGTCACCCTGGGTCTCCCCCTGGTCAGGTGGTGGTGCACGGTGACGCGTCTGGCCCCGCCCCCCCGGCGCTTGGCTCCGCCCTCCTGGGCGACCGGGACGCTCTGCGGAGAGCCGGGGAGGAGAGCCCCGGGCCCCGGGCTCTGGGGGGCTCCCTCGGAGCACTCGCCCATCGCATAGCCCGGTGAGTCACTCACCACTCACTCGCCACTCACTCACCACTCACTTACCACTCAATCACTCAGTCACTCAGCCACTCACTCAACACTCACTCACCACTCAATCACTCAGTCACTCACTCAGCCACTCACTCAACACTCACCACTCACTCACCACTCAATCACTCAGTCACTCACTCAGCCACTCACTCAACACTCACTCACCACTCAATCACTCACTCAGCCACTTACTCACTCACTCAGCCACTCACTCACTCACCACTCACTCTCTAACTCACCACTCACTCAGCCACTCACTCAGCCACTCACTCACTCACCACTCACTCTCTCACTCACCACTCACTCAGCCAC